TGTCACCGCTCCGGGCGCACACGGCGGCCACCAGGGCGTAACGGGACAGCAGGTCCCCCCGGGGGGCATCGAGCAGCGTCGGGAACAGCCCGGCCACCGTGCGCAGCGTCACCGGCGTCCCCAATGTCCCCAGTGGTGTCCCCGATGTCCCCGATGTCCTTGGTGTCCCTGGTGACCCCGATGTCCCCAGTGTCCCTGATGTCCCCGGTGTCCCTGGTGTCCCCAATGTCCCCACAGGTGTCCCCAATGTCCCTGCTGGTGTCCCCAATGTCCCCGATGTCCCCGGTGTCCCCAATGTCCCTGCCAGTGTCCCCAGTGTCCCTAGTGTCCCTGATGTCCCCAATGTCCCCGATGCCCCCACTGTCCCCGGTGTCCCCAATATCCCTGGTGTCCCCAGTGTCCTCAATGTCCCCACTGGTGTCACCAGTGTCCCCAATGTCCCTGGTGTCCCCGATGTCTCCACTGGTGTCCCCAGCGTCCCTGATGTCCCTGGTGTCCCCAATGTCCCCAATGTCCCCAGCGTCCCTGATGTCCCCGGTGTCCCTGGTGTCCCCAATGTCCCCGATGTCCCCAATGTCCCTGATGTCCCCAATGTCCCCAGTGTCCCCGATGTCCCCAATGTCCCTGATGTCCCCGGTGTCCCCAAGGTCCCCGATGTCCCCAATGTCCCCAGGAGGTCACCAAGCGCCACCAGCAGGAGGCGCCGCCGCGGCGGTGGCAGCGCCGGGTGCTGGGCCAGGGCCACCAGGCGCCGCAGGACCAGGGCCTCGTCCTCGGTCCCCAAGTGTCCCCTCCCCGGGGCCGCCACGCGCAGGGCGGCCACCAAGGGGGCGGCCTCGGCCCCCGCCAGCAGCCGCCACAGGGGGACCTTGAGGGACGGTGACACCCGCGGTGGCAGCGGTGACACCGGCGCCGGTGTCACCTGCGATGGCCCTGGTGCCACCTGTGGTGGCCCTGGTGTCACTTGAGATGGCCCCGGTGTCACTTGCGGTGGCCCCAGTGTCCGCTGCAGTGGCCCCGGTGTCACTTGCGGTGGCCCTGGTGTCACCTGCGGTGGTCCTGGTATCACTTGCGGTGGCCCTGGTGTCACCTGTGGTGGCCCTGGTGTCACCTGTGGTGGCCTCAGTGTCACTTCTGGTGGCCCCGGTGTCACTTGCGATGGCCTCGGTGTCACCTGCGGTGGCCCTGATGTCACTTGCGGTGCCCCCAGTGTCACTTGTGGTGGCCCTGATGTCACTTGCGATGGCCCCAGTGTCACCTGTGGTGGCCCCGGTGTCACTTTCACTGTCCCCGGTGTCACTTTCACTGTCCCCAGTATCCGCTGCAGTGACCCTGGTGTCACCTGTGGTGGCCCCTGCGCCGTCCTCGGTGTCCCTTGTGTCGTCCCCAAGGTCCCCGGTGCCACCTGGGTGGTCCCTGCAGCCCCTTGCGTTGTCCTCGCTGTCCTCTGCGGTGGCCGAGGTGTCACCTGCATCGTCCCCGGTGTCACCAGGG